ACTTCGCAACTTAAAGAACTAGAAAGCAAACAAAAAGAAAACCCCAGAGCAAGTAGAAGGAAGGAAATAGTAAAGATCAGAGCAGAAGTAAATGACATAGAGACCAAAAAAACAATTTAAAGAATCAATGAATCAAAGAGCTGATTTTTCTAAAAGATAAACAAGATTGATGGACCCTTAGCTAGACTCACCGAGAAACAAAGAGAGAGAACCCAAATACACAAAATCAGAAATGAAAGATGAGAAGTAACAACTGATACCACAGAAATACAAAAGATCGTTAACAACTACTATGAACAATTATATGGCAACAAATTCAGCAATCTAAGTGAAATGGACAAATTTCTAGAAACACACAGTCTCCCAAAACTATTCCCAGAAGAGATAGAAAACTTGAACAGACCAATAACAACAGCATAAGTTGAAGATGCAATCAAGACTCTCCCAGCAAACAAAATCCCAGGCCCAGATGGCTTCACAGGGAAGTTTTACCGAACATTCAAAGAAGAACTAATACCCATTCTCCTCAAACTATTTCAAAAACTTCAAGAAGAAGGAAGACTTCCAAACTCGTTTTATGAAGCCAGCATAATTCTAATTCCAAAACCAGAAAAAGACACAACAAAGAAAGAAAACTACAGGCCAATATCCCTGATGAACATAGACGCCAAAATCCTGAACAAAATAATAGCAAATCAGATACAGCAATACACCAAAAAAATTATCCACCATGACCAAGTGGGATTCCTCCCAGGGATGCAAGGCTGGTACAATATTCGCAAATCAATAAACGTGATACACCACATAAATAAAATGAAGAAAAAAACCACATGATCATATCAATAGATGCTGAAAAAGCCTTCGACAAAATCCAGCATCCATTTCTGATAAAAACGCTCAGCAGTGTGGGAATACAGGGATCATATCTAGACATAATAAAGGCCATATATGAAAGACCTACAGCCAACATCATACTCAATGGGCAAAAACTAAAAGCATTTCCCTTAAGAACAGGAACAAGGCAAGGATGCCCACTTTCGCCACTCCTATTTAACATAGTACTGGAAGTCTTAGCCACAGCAATCAGACAAGAAGAAAAAATAAAAGGGATCCAAATTGGAAAGGAGGAAGTGAAATTGTCATTATTTGCAGATGACATGATACTGTACATAGAAAATCCCAAAGACTCCACCAAAAGTTTACTAGACTTAATAAATGAATTTGGCAAAGTAGCAGGATACAAAAGTAATGTCAAGAAATCGATGGCATTCTTATACACCAATGATGAACTCACAGAAAGGGAAACTAAGAAAACAATCTCATTTACCATTGCGGCAAAAAAATTAAGATACCTAGGAATAAACTTAACCAAAGAAATAAAGGACCTATTCGCAGAAAACTACAGGTCTTTGAAAAAAGAAATAGAGCAAGATATAAAAAAGTGGAAGCACATACCCTCTTCCTGGATTGGGAGAATTAACATCATTAAAATGTTCGTATTACCCAAAGCAATCTATAGATTCAACGCAATTCCCATCAAAATACCAATGGCATACTTCACAGAATTAGAACAAATACTTCAAAAGTTCATATGGAACCAAAAAAGGCCTCGAATGGCCACAGCAATCTTGAAAAGGAAGAACAAAGTTGGAGGGATCACAATACCAGATTTCAGGTTATACTACAAAGCGACTGTAACCAAAACAGCCTGGTAGTGGCACAAGAACAGGCACATAGACCAGTGGAACAGAACTGAAAACCCAGAAATGGACCCAAGGCGATATGCTCAATTAATATTTGACAAAGGTGGCAAGAGCATACAGTGGAGTAAGGACAGCCTCTTTAATAAATGGTGCTGGGAAAATTGGACAGCTACTTGCAGAAAAATGAAACTAGACCATCAACATACACCCTACACCAAAATAAACTCAAAATGGATAAAAGAATTAAATGTAACTCATGAATCCATAAAAATCCTAGAAGAGACTGTAGGCAACAAAATCTCTGACATCATACGCAGCAGAATTTTTACTGACACATCACCTAAGGCAATAGAAACAAAGGAGAAAATGAACACATGGGACTACATCAAACTCAAAAGCTTCTGCACAGTGAAAGATATAATCATCAAAATGGAAAGGCTATCCACTGTCTGGGAGAGCATAATTGCCAATGATATATCAGATAAGGGGTTAATTTCCAATACATATAGAGTGCTCATACAACTCCAGAAAAGGAAGACAAAGAATCCAATTAAAAAATGGGCAGAGGAACTAAATAGACACCTCTCCAAAAAGGACATACAAATGGCTAAGAAACATATGAAGAAATGCTCATCATCACTAATCATCAGAGAGATGCAAATCAAAACAGCAATGAGGTATCACCTCACACCTGTCAGAATGGCCGCCATCAACAAATCATCAAACAACAAGTGTTGGCGAGGGTGTGGAGAAAAGGGGACTCTAGTACACTGCTGGTGGGAATGCAGACTGGTGCAGCCACTATGGAAAACAATATGGTGTCACCTCAAAAAATTAAAAATTGATCTTCCATTTGACCCAGTGATCCCACTTCTAGGAATATACCCTAAGAAGCATAAAACACCAATAAGAAAGAATATATGTACCCCCATGTTTGTAGCAGCACTATTTACAATCACTAAGATCTGGAAACAGCCCAAGTGCCCATCAGTAGACGAATGGATCAAAAAGCTGTGGTACATATACACAATGGAGTACTACGCAGAGGTAAGAAAGAAAGATCTCTTATCCTTTGAGACTACATGGAGGGACCTGGAAAGTATCATCCTAAGTGAATCAAGCCAAACAGAGAAAGACAAATTTCATATGATCTCACTTATTTGTGGAATATAATGAACATAACAGTTTGAGGAATGGGGTAGTCCCAGAGACGCGGAAGCGGGGTACAGACTGACAATCCCCTAAGGAGTGGGGAGGTGGGGGAGGTATGAACCACAGAACTTATACGCATGTATGCATGAACAGTGGACATGGACAACAATCTGGGGAAGGGGCAGGGAGGGGAGGAATCAGTGGGGGGAAAAAGGAGAATCATCTGTAACAAAAATTAATCAAAAAAAAAAAATGAATAAAAAAAAAAGAAATCATTGGCATTCTTATACACCAATGATGAACTCACAGAAAGAGAAACTAAGAAAACAATCCCACTTACCATTGTGGCAAAAAAATTAAGATACCTTGGAATAATCTTAACCAAAGAAATAAAGGACCTATTCACAGAAATCTACAGGTCATTGAAAAAAGAAAAAGTGCAAGATATAAAAAAGTGGAAGCACATACCCTCTTCCTGGATTGGGAGAATTAACATCATTAAAATGTTTGTATTACCCAAAGCAATCTATAGATTCAACGCAATTCCCATCAAAATACCAATGGCATACTTCACAGAATTAGAACAAATACTTCAAAAGTTCATATGGAACCAAAAAAGGCCTCGAATGGCCACAGCAATCTTGAAAAGGAAGAACAAAGTTGGAGGGATCACATTACCAGATTTCAGGTTATACTACAAAGCCACTGTAATCAACACAGCCTGGTACTGGCACAAGAACAGGCATATAGACCAGTGGAACAGAACAGAGAACTCAGAAATGGACCCAAGGCAATGTGCTCAATTAATGTTTGACAAAGGTGGCAAGAGCATACAGTGGAGTAAAGACAGCCTCTTTAATAAATGGTGCTGGGAAAATTGGACAGCTACTTGCAGAAAAATGAAACTAGACCATCAATTTACACCCTACACAAGAATAAACTCAAAATGGATAAAAGACTTAAATGTGATTCATGAATCCATAAAAATCCTAGAAGAAACTGTAGGCAACAAAATTTCAGACATCATACGCAGCAGAATTTTCACTGACACATCACCTAAGGCAACAGAAACAAAGGAGAAAATGAACACATGGGACTACATCAAACTAAAAAGTTTCTGCACAGTGAAAGATACAATCATCAAAACGGAAAGGCTACCCACTGTATGGCAGGCATAATTGCCAATGATATATCAGATAAGGGGTTAATTTCTAATACATATAGAGTGCTCATACAACTCCACAAAAGGAAGACAAAGAACCCAATTAAAAAATGGGCAGAGGAACTAAATAGACACCTCTCCAAACAGGAGATACAATTGGCTAAGAAACATATGAAGAAATGCTCATCATCACTAATCATCAGAGGGATGCAATTTAAAACAACAATGAGGTATCACCTCACACCTGTCAGAATGGCCGCCATCAACAAATCATCAAACAGCAAGTGTTGGCGAGGGTGTGGAGAAAAGGGGACACTAGTACACTGCTGGTGGGAATGCAGACTGGTGCAGCCACTATGGAAAACAATATTGATCTTCCATTTGACCCAGTGATCCCACTTCTAGGAATATACCCTAAGAAGCCTGAAACACCAATCAGAAAGAATATATGTACCCCCATGTTTATAGCAGCACTATTTACAATAGCTAAAATCTGGAAACAGTCCAAGTGTCCATCAGTAGATGAATGGATCAAAAAGCTGTGGTACATATACACACTGGAGTACTACGCAGCTGTAAGAAAGAAAGATCTCTTATCCTTTGAGACTACATGGAGGGACCTGGAAAGTATCATCCTAAGTGGAACAAGCCAAACAAAGAAAGACAAGTATCATATGATCTCACTTATTTGTGGAATATAATGAACATAACAGTCTGAGGAATGGGGTAGTCCCAGAGACAGGGAAGTGGGGAAGAGGGGGTGGTGGGGGAGAGATAAACCACAGAACTTACATGCATGTATGCATGAACAGTGGACATGGTCAACAAACTGGGGAAAGGGCAGGGGGGGGGGAATCAGTGGGGGGAAAGGAGAAACATCTGTAAAAAAAATAATTAATAAAATAATAAAAAATAAATAAAAATCTTGAAAAAAAATCAATAAAAACACATTTTAAAAAGAAAAGAGAAAAAGAAAAACAATAGAGCATGTTTCCAAGGGTTGTGGCTGATGGTAGCCATGGGCATTCCAACTGCATTTGAGAGCAACCTGGAGAGACTTTGACAGCTTAAGTCAGCATAATACCTACAGCTACTACTCACCTTTCCTGTGTGTGTGTGTGTGTGTGTGTGTATGTGTGTGTGTGTGTGTGTATACATACATATATAAAATGCACCTGGAAACTTTTCTCCCTGAATCAGGTTTACCATGGCATAACTGACTAATAAAATTGTCTCTAAAAATTACAACGTGATGTGATACACATACCTTGTATCATATACCTGAACTTTGCTAAAACAGTGAGTTAAGTGTTCTCACCGTACACACAAAACAGTCACTGAGGTGATGTAGGTATTACTAATGTGCCTGAGAGACTGGATTGCAAAATTCTTAACGCATTTATTTATTTATTTGAACTTTTATTGAGATGTAATCCATGTACTATTCACTATGCCTAAAGTGTACAGTTTAAAATGTACAATTGCAGGATTTGGAGGACATTCCTATATATGTGCAATCATCCCTACAATGCATTTTTGATCATTTTCATAACCTGAAAAATAAAGAAAATCCCTCTCTGCTTTAGCTATAACTCCCAAACATCCAATCTTCTTCTCCAATCACATATTGTTGCACTTCTTTCTTTTTTAATGATACAGTGATATATATATATATGCACATATATATATATATATACATGTGCATATATTTATAGAGAATTTATAGAGAATTCTCTATAAATTTATAGAGAATGCATTCCAGCAGCGTGGGCTCCTTTCCATTAGTTCTCACAAAGTGTGCTTCCCTGGGAGGAGCAGGCTGGTGTTTCAGGTGAACCCAGGCACCTTTCTCTTTGGCTTCCTTCTTTTTCTGATCATTTTCCTTCACACTATCAGGAAGCTATCTCAGCTCTTAGAGTGCTTAATATGCTCAATAGTACACAATTCTCTTGGCAAGTATATTGCCCTCAACTTGCTTGTTTACAGCCAAGCCCACTGTAGACACTTCCAGTTTTGCCATGGTAACACCTGTGGGTCATTCCTTTCTGAACAGTGCCCATTCCCTTGATGTTCACAATATCACCTTTCTTGTAGATCCGCATGTACGTGGCCAAAGGAACAAGTCCATGTTTCCTAAAAGGCCTAGAGAACATATAGCAGGTGCCCCTCCTCTTTCCCTTTGTGTTATGCGCTTTGGCAAATTACTAAAAGACGGTGGTTTTGACCAAACAAAGTACACATTTCTTTACCATCTGTAGTCACTCCTTGCCCCAATACAGTGTTGTCACACCCATGTCCTTACTGCCTTTATTGTAAACATTACACATAACTCAGTTTCCAACCAAATTAAATAATCAAAAATTTAAACATTAGAATATTTTATAAGAAAATCAGGTAATTTAATTTTTAACCTGGATATCTCAGTGACTCCTTGTGTTTACAACCTGAGCACAGGGAAGCCCATTAGCAGTCTTCTGCTCAGAGGAGATTGGTGGAACTCATTACAGTTTCCACGTGGTCCTCACCTGCTCACACAGAATCCATGGAAAAGTGAGGACAGGTGGCCCTGGAGGCTGGTTTCAACACAAGCTGGAGCACCAGAGATGCTTTTTTTTGTCGGGAGGAAAAAGGCACAAAGATTGCTTTTGAGGCCTTTAATAAGGAGGGATACAGTTATTAGGTACAAAGACCACCCATTCACCTTTTGTTTTTGTCTTTAATGATTTAAGATGTAATAAGGGCAGACCCAGCCTGTTGTCCTTGACTGGATTTTCCCCCCAAGTGAAAGAAAGCAGCTTCATGCTGGTTGTCAGTTGGCTGGGTACGTATTCTATGGTGACTCCAGACATTTTAAATGCGGTTTGTCATGGAGGGGTCCACATGCGACTCAACTGAACTGTAAATTATTTCCACAGTTAATTCAAGACTTCGGAGATTTTAAGGCCCTACGGCAGGGTTTCCCAACCCCAACACTACTGACCTACTGGGCGGATAATTCTTTTCTGTGGAGCTGCCCTGGGCATTGCAGGACACTGAGGCCACACTCTAGATGCCAGCAGATCCCTCTTCCTCCCAATCTTTGAGAACTGAGTGTCTTGGGATGTGACCAGAAGTTGGGGAAGGGCATGAGGGAACAATAATGTCTTCCAGCTGGGGTGATGGAGGGGACTATCTGAGAAGGGGTTGCAGGTGTCCTGAGCCAGGAGGAAACTGCAGCTTTAGGGTGACCTGAGGGCACAGCTGAGTCCCCAGGGGAAGAAACAGGGCTCCTCGGAGGGACAGGGGGACTCCAAGCCATAATGGGGGATGCTTGTGGTCCAAGCCCTTCTCTGGGTCAAGGGAACCAGGCTCTTGCCACTGACGGAGGCCTGTCCCTCATTTGGGCTTTAAGGAGTAGTGCTGAGTAGACAGGCATCGCTACCCAGGGTAGGACCCTGAGCTGCTCACCACCTCTCTACTCCTCCAGTAACTCCATGGGCACCCACACTTCTGGTCTCGCTGGACTCAAGTCTGGAGATGACATGGGTGGGCAGTGCATCTGGTCTGGCATCCCTGCCTCAGGTCCAGGTGTTTGTACAGTAAACCCTCCACTTTGCTCCAGATTTAACAGACTTTGGTTAACCAACAAAATTTCCAGTCCGTATGGTATCTCATATGTGAAAATTAATACCCTGTTAATTTAAGAATGCTTTGAACCACTCTTGCCACTTTGGGTCAGTGGTTAGAGCAATGGCCAGCAGACCAATGAGTTGTGGGTTCGAGTCTGGTCAAGGGCAGTACCTCGGTTGCGGTGCATCCTGGCCTTGGTCGGGGTCATGGGGGAGGAAACCAGTTGATGTGTCTCTCCCACATCGATGTTTCTTTTGTTTCTCCCTCTCTCTCCCTCCCTCTCTCCCACTCTATTTGAAGATAAATAGAAAAACATCCTCGGGTGAGAATTTACAAAACAAAAATAACAAACGAAATGATTTTAACCAAGGTTTGCTTATAATTAAATCAATAGGTTATATTTTGTTATTAATTCATTATTATTTTTAACAAATCTTAGTGAATAGACCACATATTGGAAAAAACACTAGTAATTTCACTGACATAAATAAATATCATATATCTACAATTATAGTCTACTTATTTAAATCCAAGAGTTACGATCCTAAACAATGTTCGGTGAACGATTAGCCTGTGATCACAGCGCATCACCCCAGTGACTGTTCTGTTGTCGGGTGGCAGTGTCTTTGTGCAGCAGTTTTAACCTGCTGGCGGAGGCTCCCACATTCTGTGCGCTGCAAGTCTGTTTATTCAGGGTAACTGGTGAATGCATGCACTTTCTAGACCTATTCAGTGTAAATTTAAAATTACAGTAATACATATAAAGACTTTTCTGTGAAATTAAACTTTTCACACATACTTAATTTTTTTTTTTAATCCTCACCTGAGAGTATTCTTAAATGAGTATCTACTTATTCTCAGATAGAGTGGGAGGGAGAGAAAGAGAAACATCAACATGAAAGGGACACACGGACTAGCTGCCTCCAGCAGGACCCGGATCAGGGCCAGGGACGAACTGCAGCTGAGGTACCTGTCCTTGACTGGAATCGAACCTGCGACTAATTGGTCCAGAGGCTGACGCTCTAACGCTGAACCAAACCAGCCAGGACACACATACTTAATTTTAATTACACAAATGTGTCTACATAAGTAAAAACAGGTAAACTAATTTGTCAACTTTTAACATATGCATTTGAAAAACCTGCTTTATGATATAATGGACTTTTGACTTTAACGGACAACCCCTCACCTGAATTAGTCCTTGATATCAAGGTTTTACTGTACTATGTACAAGGTTGGGCCCTGTGCTGGGTCACCTGCTGGGAAGGGAACAAGACTGAAGAGGGGAGCTGTGGGTGGCTCAAGGCCTGGTGTGCTTGGCTACTATGGACTAAGAATGGAGTCACTGTCTTTACCTACTTTGCCAAATTCTGCCTTTTAATGGGTGTATTTTGATCATTTACATTTAAAGTAATTATTGCTATGTTAAGGCTTAAGCCTTAACATATAACGTGGTATAAATTTAAGGTGCAAAACTGTCCAGTGAAAACCCCAATAAGGTTAGTTAACACATCCATGAGGACTGGAGCCGCAGGGACAGGATGAGGGTGTGTGTGTGTGCAAAGAGATTGAATGAAAGAGAGAGACCAATGGGGGATGGGGGAGTTTGAGCCTGTCGATGAAAAAAAGAAAAGAAAGGTTCTATGGAAAGTAACCTCAGAGGGGGAATCTAATAAATTCTTAATTGGGTAGGTCATGGTAGATTGTCACGCCCTAGGCATATAATGTCTTCACTAAAAAGCTGATGTCTGCCTTAATCCAGCCCTATCCATTGTTTCCGTGCAGCTAGGTTAGCATGCCTTTGAAATAAACCTTAACAACCTCAAGGAAGCACATAATCTGTTAAGTAGTTTTTAATCCAATCCCTGCCTCACTTTCTCCCACCTCCATTTAATCTTCTTTAGTTTCAAATGCATAAAAGGAGCTGCAAAACTGTTATTTTCAGAAGCTTTGGAGATGATGGCCCCCAGCCATCAGTTTGGCTCAAATAAACTAAAAAAAGAAAATTCTCTACATGTTGGAATGATTCCTCCATCGACAAGCCCACGTACATTTTCAAGTGTGTGAGTGCACTGGCGCACGCTCTGTGGGGTAAACTCCACCTTCTCAGGCGGTGGCAGAGCTCCCTTTGCCTTGGGAACTCATTACTGTCCACTCTGTTCAGTTCAGGTCTCCTATGCTTTGTCCAGCCAAGTCCAATAGAAACAACAATGCACCATATGTGATTTCAAATTCTGACCAAATACATTTTAAAAACACATATAGAAACAGTTTATAACAATTATAACAAAAGTTTTATACTTTCACAAAAATTATTGAATTTAAGAAATCCAACATTACTACTGGAAGTGTAATTCACATTAGAATGATGAATAAGACTGGTTCTATCTAGATACTCTAGAAGAAGCAGGGATTGCCTGTTCCTGAGTGGTATGTACCAATTTTTAAAACTATGTTTTTATTGATTGTTAGAGAGAGAGGAAGGGAGAGAAACACACATCCTGAATGGACCAAAACCAACAACCTAGGTGTGTGCCCTGACAAGGAATCGAACTGGCAACCTTTCAGTGCACTAGACAATGCTCACCAACTGAGCCACACAGGCCAGGACAACATATGCCAATTCTTGCTTATGGGGTGGGCACTCAGGGACAAGCTCCTTAGAAGAGACATCGCTGAGACTTTCTGGGTGAGCTGCAGTCTCAAAGAGGAAGGCAGAGGTTTAAGTACAGAGTTGGGGCCATGGTCCCAGACTGGAGAACCAGACTGAATTTAGCCTCATCCCTGGCCTGGCCTTGGGCAGCCAAGCAGCCCTGGGGGGCAGTGGCCCCGGAGAGAGATTTGAGGAGTGCTCAGGGAGAGGGGCTGATCCCCAGGACATGATTTGCTGAGGGTCCCACTGGGGATGGAGGCCTAGTGGGGCCTCCTCGTCTTCTGCACATGAGATATGAACATCCTCTGCTCTCTGGGTTGAAATAGTTTGATCTTCAGTGTTGAATTCCCACATGATATCGGCTCCACTGGACTGGAGCTGCAGAGATGGGAATGGGCAGGCAACAGGAGATCCTCAGGTGGCCTCAGGATGTGCATGGAGATGACCACCATGACATGTTGCTGAGTGTGAGCTTCAGGGCTGTCTATGGGGCCAGGAGGAGGACCTCTTCTCCCAGGCACAGCTGGAGTTCTGTTCCTGGTTGCAAGGTCATTAAGATCATCTGAGTGCTGGAAATCTGCACTCAGGGGAGTAAAGCTCTAAGTCCTCAAACTCCAATGGGACGAGGTGCAAACAGGGTGGTGGGGAAGGGAGCTTCCAGCCACTTCACCCTCCCCCACCATAACTGTGGGTGGCCACCCACACCTTACTGTCACATGCCCTTGACCAGGCATCAAACTCGAGACCCTTTGGTCCTTGGGCTGATGCTCTAACTGCTGAGCCAAACAGACCAGGGCATAGTATAGTATATTAAAGAAAGGATGTATGATATAACACATAATTACACAAACATTTCTACATGATTGCAACTAATAAGTTTATAGAGGGAACATGGAATAATAAAACAATTAAATCAAATTCAGTGAAGTAGAGAATACAGGAACTTTATCTAATCAGGTCAAAGGGAAGGAAAAGAGTAAAATGATTGAAATAATCTCAGATTTATAGGTAATTAGGTGAAATGCAAATGCACAGAATATTGATTTACTTTTAATGGGTGTAAAATATACTATATAGAATTATTAATAAGTATTTTGGATATTTTCTAAACAAACATTTTAACAGTCTCTATATTTTTCTATTAAGACATAAATCGCATGGAAATTTTTGGCACAGAAACTTCCATTCCTGTTCATATAGAATGTAGCCCTAGTGGGTGATAAAAAAATAATTCAAATGTTGATAGAAACTGCAAATACTACCCCCATCTACAAATGCATTACTTTTTGAAAACTATAAGAGTATCAAACTGTCAATAACCCCATGTTTTTGTGTTTCTGTATAAAGATTTAGGAATGAGTTAAGTACCATTGAAATGAGACAGGATGTCTCCTCTGGATTATAGGCTCATGGGATTATTCACTCCCTTCCTCCATAAAAGGGGAATCAAGGGACACAAGTCACTGCATTTTCAAGCAAACCACAGGCTGTCTGCATCTCAGGAGTGGGTCAACTCTGCAGCCATGGGGGAACCTGCATTGGTCTCGATTACCAACCAGCCTTTACTGGTGAGTACAGATTCCATGTGGACAGCAAGCATGTCCATTTGTATACTTTTCCTTTTTGAAACCTCCATAAATTAGTAGTCTGATGCTCTTATAACAAGAAACTATCTTATTGAATGTCATTTCTAAAATGTTAATGTTTGTTAAATAATGTCCAAAATATTGCACTTTTTTGTGTTTAAAGCTTTGTTGGGGGCCTGGCCGGTGTGGCTTAGTAGTTGAGCATCGACCCATGCACTAAGACAAGAGGTTGCTGGTGTGATCCCTGGTCAGGGCACATGCCTGGGTTGTGGGCCAAATCCCCAGAGAGGGGCATGCAGGAGGCAGGCAATCGATGTTCTCTCTCATCAATGTTTCTCTCTCTTCTTCTCCCTTCCTCTTTAAGATCAATAGAGAAAAAAGAATTATAGCTTTCTTGGGGTGATAGGACTGATGTTTTTGTTTTGCCTTGGTTTTGCTTTGCTTTTAACCAACATCCATCATCACTAGAAATGGGAAGTAGTATTTGAGCCTGCACTGTTCAAATTGTTCCCCTCTCCGGAAAATTTTTTTACATATGATGTGTTTGGTCATCTAAACAAATTTAGTTCTCTACTCAAATTAACTATCAAAAGTGAGTTCTTCCCTAATCTCCTTGTCATCAATAATCGTAGTTATTTTCTTTCTGTATCCCTCTTAACATCTCATCCTCCATCCCTCTCTCTTTCTCTGTCTCTGTCTTGGCCTTACTGTTTCTCATGACACTTAATTATACCTAACACCACAATAAACATTCATAGTCTATTCAGTCTTCCTTCCAATCCAGATTAAAATCAACAGGAGCAGTGACTGTTAAGCTCAATTCTAAATCACATTTTAGTATACAACATAGAATATAATAGATGCTCTATAAATGGGAGGATCACACAGTTTTCTCTCCAAACCAGGACATCATGGATAATGAAAGGGGTAGTATCGTTTATGGCAAGATAATAGGAATGCAATGAGATTTATGGTTTCTCATTTTAAAAATACCTCTGGAGACAGAAATGAGGGATTTTTAAAAAAGGGTGTACTGATTGGGTTTACATTTTAAATAGATTGTTTTATCTATTTTGTAATGGGTTATGGAAAGAAAAGATTTGGAATCTTAGGCAGTGATAATATATTATAGCATAACACTCATTGTATAATTCTGGTTGAGTAAATTTGCTTGAAATATTGAGGTTTTTTTGGAGTTTGAATAAATTCTTTCAATAAATATATCTGAGCACCATCTAAGGGCAAAGCAATAAGTGAATATGGTGGTATAACCTATTAAAGTTATCATTAGACTTTTCTTTATGGAGTAGCCATTTTAGTGAGAAAAATAATATGAAAGAAGTAGATAATGCACATACAAATATAAATTGAAAAATTAACACAGTCCTGGCTGGATTGGCTCACTAGTGAGTGTCAGCCTGCAGAATGAAAAGTTTCAGATTCGATCCCCATTCCCAGTTTGGATCATGCTGGAGGCAGCCAACTGATGTTTCTCTCTCACGTCAATGTTCCTCTCTCCCCCTCCCTGCCTTCCACTCTTGTCTAAAAAATTAATAAAAAATATCATTGGCTGAGGATTAGAAATAAATTAACACATGCCCTGGCCGGTTTTGCTCAGTGGTTAGAGTATCAGCCTGCGGTCTAGAGAAACCCAGGTTCAATTCCTGCTAAGGGCACGTACCTCGGTTGCAGTTTGTCCCCGGCCCTGGTTGGGTCATGTGGGTGGCAACCACTCGATGTGTCCCTTTCACGACGATGTTTCTCTCTCTCTCTTTCTCTCTCCTACTCTATCTGAACAAAAATATCAAAAAATGTCCTCGTGTGAGGATAAAAAAAATTTAACACAGAAAATGTCATATTAATTTTGATTGCTGGATCAGGGAAGGTCACTGTGTAAATGGTATTTTGTAGAAAATCTGAAAAATGCTCAAAAATTATTCAAAAGTTGAAAATATTTACAGAAGTGTGGATGGATGATTCATCAATATAAGTGTGGGGAGGCAGGGTATCCAGAATGACACTGTGGTTTACACTGGATATTAGCACCAACAAAACTTGAAGGGACACCGAGATAGAGGTGGATTACTTGGGAAACTGGTTGGTTCAGTGTGGCACCTGGTAACTGAGATGAGTCACTGATAGTAGCAGTGATGTGATAAATGGGCAAACGGATATTTGAGTCTCAGGGTTGAGGTCACAACACTGATTCTATGGGCATTTCGAGTTCATTAGTGGTATTTGTAGCCAGAGAAATGAATGGGATGTCCTAGAAAGGGTGTGAATGCAGAACAAATGTGAGAGCAGGACTCACTTCTAAGAAGCATCGACCATGTTAAGGCAGACAGAAGAGCTGAGATTAACAGGGAGGAGTAGGAGAAAAGTTAGGGGGTACAAATGGTTGTTTACAGTGGGGGTCTTTGTGCAAAAAAGAAACTTTTATGAAAATAGGGTATTTCTGAGTTATTTATGAACCAGAGAATATTTGAGTAAAGAAAGGATTCGAGTATGCAAGTGAACGTGCATATTGACAGACTGAAAGGCTCATGACTTCACTGGGTTAGAGGGTATCGGCATGTGTGTAGTTGACTTTAACAAAGAAAAAAGGAAAATATCCTCAGAGGAAGTTGGTGGATGAAATAATCTGGAATTGAAACCAGATAATGACCTTGATTCTTCTGTTCTTGACTCATATCTGGTTGGATCTGGTTCTTAATGTGCGGTGCCTATGCCAGCAGCAGCAGCATTACCTGGGAACACTTAGAAACGCCTCTGCTTGGGTTGGGGTTCAGAACACTGAGTGTTAACAACTTTCCAGATGACAGTGATGAACAGACACATTTCTACAGAAAGAAGAGGGTGGAGGATTCAAAGAAACTGAAAGTCTTTATCTCCTGTTTTATTTAAACTTGAAATTTCCTTTTGTTTTTAAAGGGAAGGCTGAAAAGAAAGATGATGCCCCAGACTTTAGCCAGGAAGAGACAATTCCTGTTATCCAAGACCAAGAGGAGACAGCGTGAAAGGACTGCACTTCCTATGAGGCTGACCAACTGCATTTTCAAGAGGCCAGTCACAAGGATAACTGCCCATCCTGGCAATGAGGTCAGGCACAGGCAACAGGAGGAGACCTGGGAGAAGCCCCAGCAAGTCTGTGCGTACAGGAGACTGCAGGGGCTCCAGGCCTGCAGCAGTGAAGGAGGACGGTTAAGCACTTGGGATATCACAAATACCATGGAAATAATTGCACCCAGAAGTGCAGGTGAATCCCTGTGTCATACTGATCTGGATTCTCTACGCACCAGCCCCAAGCCCACCACTGCACAGTTTTTAAATTTAGCAGAGATGATCCCAGGAGCAGGTCGCTGTGTCCCACAGATTCTCAGAGGGCAACCAGTTACCCGTGGAGATGTCCAGAGACAGACTCTGAAAGTGAAAAAAATAAGAGAGAGACTGGCTGTGGCCTTGAGGGCAGACTGGCCAGGGAGGCAGAGAGAGCCAGAAGCCAGGAAGAATGTGGTAACAACTGAATGAAAATCATGAAAAGGTTATGTTGAGAAAGTCCAGTGGTGTGACTTTGGGAAGTGATTCACTGTGAAAATGCCATCAGTATAGTTGTTTTCTTTAATTTCAATTCTGTTTCTTGCTCTGGACTCTGATGCTTTGTTGTATCAAAATTGTATGTTATTAAAAATTTTTGAGAGACGAAAATATAAAGAGTAGATGGTTTTGTGGGTGAGAGGTTGGGCTTCATGTGACAAGAAAGGAGATCTTGTCCTTGTACATCTCACTGTTTCCCATGATTTTTATTCACTTTTATAATTAAATTCTAAAGAGGTAACTTTGAGATTGATCAGTTATATTTCCTTATAATACTGACACTCCAGGAAGAGATGATATCTACTGTACACATAGTTTTTTAATGGTAAATGAATTTGATTCCATATAAATTGGATTTTATTAAGCTTATTATCTCATTCAAACATAAATTACATGTTTAGGGGATTTTTTGCCAATTCAAATTCAGACATAAGGCATTATAATATAATTTAATTAGCACTTATATCACCTATTACATCCTTAACTGTTACTAAAAACTACCTGGGTGGTTTGTCTAGGGTTAACCTTAGATTCTTAAGAAGGAAATGTTCTCTGGGAACATTTTACATGGAGAGAACCTTGGTAGCTGGCTCGTTGCCTTGGCCCTGATACTAGGTCCTGAATCAAGAAACTTGGTCACCTGCTCCCAATATAGGGCACATCGTAATCTTTCAAGAGGTGATGAACACTATAAGTGGGGAAAAGTGTATTACAGAAGCGAGGTAAGATTCTTTCACGAGGTCGACAAAGGAGTGATGGGAGTTGGAATAATCAGGCATTCTCTGGGCTTCCTGGAGCTTCTCATAGAGCAGAGGTTCTGGGGGCTGGGGATGTCACATGGCCCTCTCTGGTCCAATAGATTCAAGCACAGGACCCTTTATGGAACAGGAGGTGGAGCCAGGTTTGTACTGGGTTCTTACATGCCAGCCCTGGAGTTCTGAGAAGTGGAGCTGTGTGAGATAACTATGTAGATGCTACTGACAGGATGTGAGATGACCTGGAAGGAGAGCATAGTGGGTGGGCACTGGGGATGGTGAGGACAGGACCTGCCCACCATTTGTATAGTGCTTGTGTCTGTGTTTGGACATATCTATTCAAGTCATGTTAAGGAACTGATTTCTTCCCTCATTGAATCTTTTTTCTCCTCCTATATTCTGTAAAATTATTTTATCTTAAGTTAATTTTAGTTAAGTTTTGTCTCATGCATTTAAACGATTCCTAAGTGATTCGCAGATGTAGACTATGATTTCATTGAGTTACATTGAAAAATGAGAGTGTTCAGATGTGATAACTGGGAATCTGAGAAATTCAAATGATGGCATCCAGCACGGTCAGTGATCTTCAGGACAACCATATGCTAAGCCACGTGATAATTAGAATTTCTAAGAGAAGGTATTGGGTTTGGATGGTTTGAGTGAAAATAAAAGAAAAGCCATACTCTGATTCAGTTTTTCAACAACAGCTCCTGGCGGTGCCTGAATTCCTTGGTTTGTGGCAGCATAACTGTAATCTCTGCCTCTGCCTTTCACATGGTCTTCTTCCCTCCATCTCTATCTTCACCTCTTCTTATAAGTACCCAGTCACTGGAATTAAGGCCCACCCTACATCCAGGATGAGTTCTTCTTCATATCTTTAATTAATCACATCTGCGAAGAGAAACTGAACAGTACTTCCCATATGTGCCCCGACTAGGGATTGAACCTGCCATCTTTTTGGTGTACAGGAGATGCTCCCACCAACTGAGCCACCTGGCCAGGACAAGACCTAGGTTTTATATAAAGTACAATTCTGAGGTTCTGGGTAGACATACATTTTTCAATCCTCTACCTCTTCCCCACTCAACTGGGGGTGGTGGGAGATCCACCTTGGAAGTGACTGCCTTGTGCCTGGTGACATCTGAAGAGGTTACAACAGCATCAGCCATACAATATACAGACAGCCTTTACGGCTCAGTTGGATTTGAGTGCTAGCAATATTGCAGGAGTTGTTTTTTTCAAAAGTACTTGGTTAAACCGATAAAGGTAAAATTGTGATGTTATTTTTACATTCATTCAAAGGAGAAATTTTACAAAGTGAAATGAGAATTTCAACCCCAGCATGTGCCCTGACAGAGAATCAAACTGTTCAAACAACTAAGCCACACCATCCAGGGCAATGCCCTTTTCTACTGTGAAACCAAACCTATTTCCATCATCTCTATTTTCCCACAAAAACATAAATAGCAGGAGTCCAAAAACCTCTTCCATGCCTGTATCCATATGGCCTAGTGTGCCTAAATTGGGTATGTTTCTTCTTGGTAGGTTTATTTTTCTAGGAATGTGTCCATTTCTTCTAGGTAATCCAATTTGTTTCCCTATTAAATGTTCATAATAGTCCATATTTATCCCCTTTTTAAGGCATTCATTACAATATGTTCTCTTTTATTTCTGATTTTATGTACTTGAGTCTTCTCATTGTTTTTGATCATCAGGTAAGATTTTGTCAATTTTGTTTATTATTTCAAAAAACCCAGTTGTGATATTTTCAATTATTTTTCTATATTTTATTTAATTTATTTCTGCTCTAATCTTTATTATTTCCTAACTTGTACTAACTTAAGGTTTAATTTATTGTTCTTTTGCTAGTTTCTTGTGGTGTAAATGTAGGTTATTTTGAGATATTTTTAATAGCTCTTAGTGGTATAAAACATCCATTTTACTTATTTTTCTTTATTTTAATTTTTTTCTTTATTGATTTTAGGGAGCCAGAAAGGGAGAGGGAGAGATAGAAACATCGCTGAGAGAGAACATCGATTGACCGCCTCCTGCATGCTCCCCACAGGGGATCGAGCCCACAACCTGGGCATGTCTTGATTGGGAGTTGAACCAGTGACTTCTTGGTCCATGGGTCGACACTCAACCATTGAGCCACACCGGCTGGGCTTATTTTACTTCTTAATGCTTCACCCAACAAATTTTCATAAACTGTGCTATAATTTATCATCTTGCAATATTTTTTAAATTTTCTTTTGATTTACTCCTTGACTTATTGTTTGTCCAGGAGTATTTTATTTAATTTCACATATTTGTGAATTTTCACAATCAGATTTGAGGTAAATAGACATTTAGTGTGAGGTTGAATGATTTCTTGAATAGCCATTAGACTATTATTATTTGCTTTATTTGTAGGTGTCAGAGGCTTTAATATCCCCTGCTGTCCTTGTATTTTTCTCCTCCTGTGTGTTTGAGGAGGACACCAAGAAGCATGTGTTTCCCACCTAGAAACATGGTGAAAAGGTATTTGGGTGGAAAGTGTCCTTTATGATTAAACTTGTGAAGCGGTTCCTAAACAGTGTGTAAAATGTACTACAATGTCGAAATCCAAGTGAGCAATAATGAAATCCTCACTTGCTGAGACTCCAACTTTCATTTATAGAATTATATATTCCCCACACTCCCTATTATGCCATATCAGTTTCCTTTACAGCCCTCATTTCCTTCTTATAAACTAAAGCTTTACTATTTGTTGACCATTTTTCTTTTCTCACAAAAAACACAAGCACCAGGACTGCAAGAACAAAGTTGTCTCATGTCACTGTATCTAGATCCTACAGGGCCTTGATTATTTGGGCTGAATTGGGTATGATGACTCTAAAGTGCATGAAATTGAGGGATGTTGAAACATCAGTGTCAAGAGTAGTCTCTGAACAAGAAAGGCCTGATTGGACCAGTACTCCTCTCTTCTCCCTTGCTAGGTTTTTATTCACTCACAGTTTACTTAAACTTAGAGGTCTCAGTTGAGTCAGGAAGGTGATATTAATATTATGCAATATATAAGAAGTGAATATATATGTTTTTACTGAAGTACTTATGATAAATGGTATAAACCCTGTAGGAAATACATCAGTGTTCAGATCATAAGTACTAATGCCATAGGCTATTTCAGAGGACAAGGAGCTGTAATCACTGCTCGGTCAAGTCTCATCCTGCTGAAGAGTAAGATGTCACACACCTCCTTCATCAAAAAAACTTGGAGACTATGACAGACCAAGACACAAATATATTTTACAACCATGTCTCACAAAATAGCAAAAGTGACAATCCCAAATTTTAAAAGTGGTCAATATTTCCCTCTTCCTACCAATGTGACTCACTGGGGCTTCTTGCAAGTTAAGATGAGCTCTTGCACATTGCCTGCTAAAAAATAAGGTTCATGGTAACCAATAACATAATACGTTTACCTCCTCAGAGCATTCAATATACAAAAAAATCCTGGAGACTTTAATGGCCATAACATCTATTACAGGCCAATTCCTATAAAAGTCCTGATCAACCTTCTGCATTACACTACAGTCATGTGTACATTGTGGTCATTCTGATTATTAGAATTCATTACACTCCTCTCTGAATACAGCCACAATCATACAGGCCACTGGCAAAAGGGCAATGAAAACTCCATGATTTACAGTCTTGGTATTAAGAGTGAATGACAATTGGTGTCATGACGAAAACTGTAACTGTTAAAAAATATAACAAAATATGCCTTAGAAAAAATTGCCTGAACATGAATGCACATAATAAAATTAACCCATATGGTATAATTATTAAGGAACACAATGACAAAGTTTATTTGAAAATACAAAATTATTATTTTAACATATCTTCTCAGGAAATAAAAACATAGTATTTGTTAGTATACAAGAGCTTAGAAAACAGTTAATAAAATACTTTTATGAAACAACTACAGAAGGGTTTGTTTGACCAGAAAATACATGTCCTCTTAATCACATACAATCAAATATGATGGAAAATATACTGAAGGAATTATGCAGATACAAGTACCAGGCAACATCCAGTCTTCCTGACAAGTGTCATTCTTTTTGACAGCACCATTGTAGATGTTATGGTGAATAAGAAAAACATGGCACTGTTAAGTGCAGAAGATGTCTCCTATAAAATTAGCTCTTAAATGGATGTAATCTAAGTAGGAGAATCAGACATAAGCATGAAAGTCTGATAAATTTCCTGATGGACACAAGAGGGCCTACAGCAAAACCAAATTCTGATGGATCTTTGATATGGATCTTATGAAGACATCAGTGGAAACCCACACAGCTCAGAAAATGGATATTAGACAGTCTGTGATGGTTTTGAGGAGAGTCTTGATTGGAAGGTCAAAGATTCAAGATAACAGGCTGGAAGCTTTTCACCTTTAAGTGCCTATGTCTATTTGCCTGTGTGAACGTTGGCTCTAAAGTCTAACTAATGCCTTCTTTGTTTTTACCTTCCAAATCTTATGCAAATGAGGCTACTAAAGAATTCTAACATGGACCATAAAGGAGATGGATTCTGGGAACTCAAGGTCCTATCATTACCCAGTGGGAGGGAAAATCTTCAGCCCTTGATTCTGTTGCCCTATCACAGGTCCCTCTTCCTAATGCAAACTCTACTCACCAAACATCAGTCCAAAGGAAGAACAAAAAGCAAAGGCCCAAATATGAAAAGAATGATATTCTTTCCTAAACTCGCCACACATAATACTTATCCCAACTATTTATTCACATGGAAAACAGAAAAAGTCTCCTATACTTATCACCCCACAGAAAGAGCTATGCCAGAGGGAAAGGTAGAATACATAAAATGGACTAAGGAGATAAAAACTGCCACAGGCCACTAGGAAATCCCAAATACCAAACTGTCCCTTTCAATGGGTCCTTAACACAGAACAAATAAAATGTTATAAAAACATATTCAACCTAACTGCATATAAGAAATAGACCTCAACTCACCTATGTATCTAACAGGCTTCAAGATAGAGAGAAAATAGCCCTGGCCGGTTTGGTTCAGCGGTTAGAGCGTCAGCTTGCGGTCCAAAGAGACCTGGGTTCGGTCCCCGCTAAGAGCACGTGCCTTGGTTACAGTTTGTCTCCGGCCCTGGTTGGGTCCTATGGGTGGCAGCCACTCGATGTGTCCCTTTCACGTCAATGTTTCTCTCTCTCTCTCTCTCTCTCTCTCTCTCTCTCTCTTCCTCTCTCTCCCTCCCACTCTATCTGAACAACAACAACAAAAAATTTAAAAATGTCCTCGGGTGAGGATAAGAAAAAAAAAAAAGATAGAAAATAGTATTAAATGTTTCAAGAAAAAAAGCACTACCTATCCATTTTATTGTTGAAAGACTCTCATTATTATCTCATGTGAATATTCATTTCTGAAAGTAATTAGTAGAAATCCACAGCCCAGTGGTGAAGTACAGAAAGGAGTTCAATAGACACAATATATTCACACATGAACGAGGACTCTTTCACACTATACACTTTCTGGCACATTATACATTGATTAATTTCTATTAATTTACTCATGTTACTTACATTTTCATTTCCTTTTTGAAGGGAATTTTCACTTGTAAAAATGTGCACCAATCCAAATCTTTCCAAAATTTTACATTCAAGAGTTTTTATCCAGTGAGTCCTTTTTATGCTTTTGAACGAAACTGAGACAACTGAAGTCTTTCCAAATTTTTGCACATTAGTATCATTTATCTTCAGTGTGTATTTTCACATTTTGAAAGGTTGTGTGATAAATGAAGACTTTTCCAAATTGCGTATATATATAGGGCTCTTTGCAGTGTGAGTTCTTTCATGTTTTCGAAGATAACGGAGACAAGTAAATGCTTTACTACACTTTTTACAAACATATGGTTTCTCTCCAGTGTGAGTTCTTTCATGTGTTTGAAAACTTTGATAACATTTGAAGGCTTTCCCACACTCCTTACATTCATAAGGTTTGTCTCCAGTATGAGTTTTTTCATGTGTTTGTAAGGAACTGTGATCTCCGTAGGCTTTACCACATTCCTTACATTCAAAGGGTTTCTCTCCACTGTGGTTTCTCTCATGTTTCTGCAGATCACTGGGATACCTAAATGCTTTACTACATTTTTTACATTTATAGGGTTTCTTTCCAGTGTGATTTATTTCATGTTTTCGAAGATAATGGAGACAACTAAATGCTTTACCACAGTTTTTACATATATATGGTTTCTCTCCAGTGTGATTCCTTTCATGTGTTTGGAAACTTTGATAACATCTGTAGGACTTCCCACATTCCTTACATTCATAAGGTTTCTCTCCAGTATGAATTCTTTCATGTATTCGTAAGGAACTGAGATATCTATAGGCTTTTCCACATTCCTTACATTGATAGGATTTCTCTCCAGTATGTGTTCTTTTGTGATATCGAAGAGAGCTGGGATAACCAAATGTTTTGCTACATATTTTACATTCATAGGGTTTCTCTCCAGTGTGATTTCTTTCGTGTATTAGGACACACTGATGAGAACTGAAAGCTTTGCCACATTCTTTACATTCATAGGGTTTCTCTCCAACATGAGTTCTTTGATGTTTTTGTAAGGAACTGGGATCCCTGTAGGCTTTACCACATTCCACACATTCAAAGGGTTTCTCTCCAGTGTGGTTTCTTTCATGCTTTTGAAGATCACTGGGATATCTAAATGCTTTACTACATTTTTTACATTCATAGGGTTTCTTTCCAGTGTGATTTCTTTCATGTTTTCGAAGATAACGAAGACAACTAAATGTTTTACCACACTGCTTGCATACATATGGTTTCACGTCTCTGTGATTTCGTTCATGTCTTCGAAAACTCTGATAACATATGAAGGCTTTTCCACATTCTTTACATTCATAGGGCTTCTCTCCAGTAAATTTATTTTCATGTCTTCGATAATTTTGATAATATCTGAAGGTTTTCCCACACTCCTTACATTCATAGGGTTTCTCTCCAGTGTGAACTTTTTCATGACGTCGAAGATAACTGAGACAACTGAAGGCTTTACCACACTGTTTACATTTATAAGGTTTTTCTCCAGTGTGGGATCTTTCATGTATCTGAAATGAAGTTGAAGAATTAAAGGTTTTCCCACATTCCTTACATAGATAGGCTTTTTCTCCACTGTGATTTATTTCATGGTTGTCCAAACACTGAAGATAACTGAGGGTGCTCCCACATACATCATAGTTATATAGCTTGTTTCCATAATGTTGATACTCATATGGCTTGTTTCCAGTGTGACATCTGATGTGCATATTATGGGATGATTGTTGCATGAATACTTTCCCACACACACAATATTCCCATGGCTTTACTCCAGAAAGAGTTTTCTTCTTCAGACTAAGATTTGGAATAAGGCTGAAGTTTTCCCCACAATGACTACTCTCTTCCCCTTCACAGAATACCACAAACATTGGATTTCTGGAAAAAATTGAGAAGCACATTACTAATTATTTTTTGTTAATGATTTTTAAATTATTAGTAGAATATTTTGACTATATTTTCATAATTTATAGCAAAATTTTAGGTTTTCCCCTTGTCTGAATAAATGATTATAAGCAATGCTTTGCAAGAGGAATTTGCCTTTGGTACTATTAGAACTGTGCTATTCATGTAAAGGGTTTATCAATACTCTCTCCATTTAAATTACTTTTCAAACATTGACCATCTTTGTCATATATGAAAAAGTAATTTGGTGGAAAATTTCTGAGAAGTAATAAATTTGAAGCAGAAGTTAATTTGGTTGCTTCTTTTTAAATTTGATTGCATAAGAGGTTTCTCATAAAGACAGTTCTATTCTGCGTGTGACTCACCTTTGTTTTCTCCTTTGGTTTTGGTACTGATCCTCAATGTCATAATCTTCCCATTGCTTTCCTAAAATGTAAACCCAGAAACTTTATTTCAAACTATTAGAAACTATAGGAAAATTATTAGATTCTAATTCTGTAATGAGCTGAGACCAGGCCTAGTTTATTTACCAAGCCCCTCCCTTCCCACATTCCACATTGAGAATGTTGAATGTTGATGGCCAAGAACACTTGTCCCCTAATAAACAATGTAAAGGTAACTTGTCATCCTTACCAATAGAGGCCAGGTTCCTGAAGGTTTCCTGCATCACATCTCTGTAGAGTTTCTTTTGTGGAGAATCCAATAAAGCCCACTCCTCCAGACTGAAGATCACAGCCACATCCTCAAAGGCCACCAAGTCCTAAAACACTCCAATATGTGTAGAGTAGGGTGTGTGAGACTGACAGCACTGGACACCCAGACCCATTTACAGTGAGGTTACATATGATCTGTTGTCTGTAACACTTATTCTATGATTTGATGATAAGAAACTCATTCTCTTTCCACACTTGCTTCCTCTTAGATGTACCAGCATCAATTGTTTATACAATGTTACTATGATCACATTACACTTTTCTTTTTTCCCCTAATCGTAGGGTTAGAGAATGTTTGGAAATGACAGAATGGCTGTTCAAATGAAAGAAATATTATTATTTTAAGATAATCAATTCTTTGTGAGAAGCATTCTATCACCTCCTTCCTCACTGCCCACCATTTATAGCACTCCATGAGGCAAATGTTAACATTTGCAATGAGGTTTCAATGAATAAAAACATAGTGAGGAACTAAAAGCTTTTTGTTTTATTCCTATTACCAAACCTGAAAGTCCAGAGGCCTATGGATATTCAACTTTTAACAAAGCTCAGCTGGCCATGTTGTCCTACATGCCTCTGGGCCATTAGAGTAACTGTATGCAGCTGGCAGAATGGAAATATTCTTGTAGAGAAGCATTGCTCTTACTTGTGTAATATTCTTCACAGATTCACTTCTTTCTTTCTCTTTCTGTTTGATTTCATGGTCTAATAAGGTATTTCACACTTAGAGCTCAGACACAAAGTAGAAGGCAGCTTCCACAAAAAATCACATTACTACTGTGCCACAGGGCTGCTTCCAGCCAATTTTTGGCACACAGGCACACACACTGAGATGATAATATACCAGAAGAGCTCTTTCCAACACAACCGTAACAGTCTATCCTGGGTCCTGCTGACACTGAGGATCAGGTTAAGAGCGTTAGCTGCAAGAGAATTCATTGAGGTCCACAATGGTGTGATAATGAACTTGCTCATTATTCTAAAATATGTAAAGGTTGCAGCAATGATTTCCTCCAAAAGAACGTATAACATCTACTCTCCAATCAGGAGGAAGTGATTCCTGACCAGCCAATCTAGAGGCTGCCCTCCTTTCTTCTGTCATTTCCAAGCCCCCCCAGGGGAGTAAAGGAACTTGATAGCTCAACGCTTCAGCAAGGAATTCCTCAGCTGATGACAGCATAAACCACCTGTAGGCTATGAAAGGGTTTATTACTGTCACAGTTGACGTATCTGCATAGAGTTGGGCGACCTCTCAGGAAGACATTAGATAGCCTGTGAGAGAGAAAATGGTGCATGGCCCTGTTGTTTTGGGAGGTTACAGGATGAGCTAGTGTGAGAGTTCACACACAAGGGCAGGAGCTTACAAGGACTCAATCACTTGCTACCACAGGAGGGCACCCTAAGGCTTGCTTATCACCTTGCACAGAGGTGGGTCAGAGGGAAGGAGAGGCAGGGAGCTCTAAAGCTGTCAGCAATCAATCACCAAGATTGGCAGCAGGAAACTGGTGGTCTCTGGTGTGGCATCTAAGTGACTCAGAGGTTGTCATTACCAAACTCACAAGAGAAAAGGTAAAAACCTCGAAATTATCTTCTTAGGTCTATTAGAGCCTTTAGGTCACAAGGCAAGTGGGTGTGGTCAAAATTGGAAAAGAGAAAGTAAACTTGGCATTTAGAAAAATGTCCCAAATATTCTGTTCTTAACATGGCCTGTATTTTAAATTTTTTTAAATCTATTTCAGCCTGGACGGTGTCGCTCAGAGCATTGAGCACTGTCCCATGGACTAAGAAAAACTGGTTCAATTCCCTGTCAGGGCACATGCCCAGGTTGCGGGCCTGATCCCCAGTAGGGGGTGTGCAGGAGTCAGCTTATTGATGTTTCTCTCTCACATCGATGTTTCTATCTCTCGCTCCCTTTGTCTCTCTCTCTAAAAAATCAATAAAGATGTATTTTTGAAAATCTATTTCAGCAATTTCTAATGCAAAGCCAAAAAAGAACAAAAAACAGAACACAACATTCATAATCCATAGATTCTTCAAACAGAAGGTTAAACACACCTGATGGAAACACCTGAAGAACATAAAAGACGGAAAGAAATATAACAAACTCGAAGAAACCAGTAAAGTAACAATCACTGAGATTTCCTAAAATTCATGATAAATGACACACTGCGGGTCCAAGATGGTCGGAGAACATTAGACATGATAAATAACAAGAGTGCAAACCCAAGGGTCTCATATTCAACTAGACAAAAATCAAAGACAGAGAATATAGTGAAAGAAGCCAGGGGGGGAAACACCTTAGTTACAGAGAAAAAAAATTAGAATTAAACCACACTTCTTTTCAAAAACCATGCAAGCAAGAAGAGAGTGGATTAAATATTGAAAGTTGTGAGAAAAAAATCCTGAAATAGTGTGTCAAGATAAACTTATCTTTCAAATATAAAGAAGAAATAGGACTTTCTTAGACAAAAATTGAGGAAATTTGTTACTACTACACCTATGTTGAATGAAATGTTCAAAAATCCATCAGAAAGATGGTAAATGATAGATGTGAAGGATTAGAAAAACATAATGAAGGTAAAATATCTTTTGTATTTGTCATCATATAATATATGACATTTTGTTTATTTTAGAAATTATGTATTTGATGATTTCAGGTTATGGACAACTGAAATAAATGACTGCAGCTTACAAGGGACAGAGGGGATTGGGACCAGTGTGGTGGGCGGTACTTCCACAACCAGTGAGGCGGTTCAGTGCGACCTCAGAGGCAGCCATTAGTTGTAAATGTTACTGAAAACTCAAGGACAACCACTAAAATCTTTAAGACAATATGCATATTTGATATAAGAGAGGAGAAGAAAAATCAGGCCAAATGCTCAATTAAAGCCAGAGAATGAAGAAAAAATGTTGAAACAAAAAAGAAACAAAGATCAAGGGCAACAAATAGAACAAGTTGTTCTATTTGAATAGGACAAGTTCTGGTAGATATTAATCCACCTGTATCAATCACCATTTTAATCATCATTGGTCTTACTACAACTGAAAAACAAATACAGTACTGTAATATCAGATTTTTATAAACTCCTCATCTGAGGATATGTTTTGATTGTTTTTTTTTAGAGAGAAAAACACTGATGTGAGAAAAATTGATCAGTTGCCTCCCATATGGGCCCTGACTGGGGATCAAACCTGCAACCTAGGTATGTACCCTGACCAGGAATTGAACCCACAACCTTTTGGTGTACAAGACAATGCTCCAACCAACAAAGCCACCTGTCCAGAGCTGTAATATCATATTTTAAAAATCACAATGATATGTTGTTCACAAGAAACCCACTTTAAATATGAAGTCACAGAGAGATAAAAGAAAAATCATGGAGAAAATGTACCATGTCAACAGTAGTCAAAGGAAAGCTGGCAGGGGTATATGAATTTCTGACAATAAAGGTTTCAGACCAAGAAAAAAAAATCTCAAAGATAAAGATAGACATTATTTAATGATAAAGGGGTCCATTCTCCAGGAAGGCACAGCAGTCCTTTATATGCTTGTGCAAAACAAAACAAGGACAAAATACACGAGGCAAGAGCTGATAGAACGCAAGGAGAAACAGATGCATCCAGTACTATCGCTGCAGATTTCAACATTCTCTATCACAAATTACAAATTCCAGCAGAAAGAAATCACAAAAGACAGAGTTGAACTGAACACTGCCATGCAACAACAAAATTAATTTAAAATTATAATTTGTGATTAAAATCTATTTTTTTAAAATCTATGCCTTAAAATTTTAAATTATTGATATACTTCATGTAACAAGAACACGGTACACATTCTTCTCAAGTTCACATGGACAGAACACATGACAGAACACATTCATCATGACAGAACACATTCTGGAACATAAAACATATCTTAACAAATTTGAAAGAACAGAAATCATACAAAATATGCTCTTATACCACATACATTAATCTAGAAATCAATAATAGTAAGAGAGTTGGAAAACACTGAAATATGTGGAGATTCAACAACATAAACCTAAATAATACATGGGAGCAAAGAAGTTATCTTAAGATAAATAAAAAAATATTTGGACTGAATGAAATGAAACTTCAACTTTTCAAAGATTTTGGGATGCAGGAAAAGCAGTGCCTAGAGGAAAATGTATGCCATCAAACAAGTATACTAGAACAAGAAAGATCTATAATCAAATAACGTAAGCATCTACCTTAGGAAACAATAAAAAGTTGAGCAAATTAAACCCTGAGTAAGCAGAATAAAAGTAAAAATAAATAATTAGAAACAGATCAATGTAATGGGAAAAGAAATCCATGGAGAAAAAAACAAACAAGCAAAAAGCTGTTTTTTGAGAAGATTAATAAAATTCATAAGCACCTAGTTAACATAACTAAGCAAAGGAAGACAAAAATGACAACTTAAGGCCATCATGGATAAGTCTAAGGAGCTAAGAGGTGGTCAATGAAGCCTCTATAGTGAAGGGGTCTATGAGGACACTGCCAAGTGTGCCTGTTGTATGGCAACTTAAACAGTCTAGAGCCTTCTGTGGTAGGAGTACCCACTCAAGTTGGGGCAGATTGTAAGTAACAGCATAAATGGGTTCAAATAAAATTAGTGAACAAGGAATATGTTGCCTCTCAAACACTAAAGAATCTAGACAGTGGTGTGGGTTCTGAGAGAGACTATAGCTATTTCTTCATGGTGTCACAAACTGAGTGGCCTTCTGTTTATTAAATAATTTTTTTACATGTAACAAAGACGTCCAGCTGGTGTGGCTCAGTGGTTGAGCACTGACCCATGCACCAAGAGGTCACTGGTTCCATTCCTGGTCAGGGCACATGCCCAGCTTGTGGGCCCAAACCCCAGTGGGGGACATACAGGAGGCGGCCAGTCGATGTTTTCTCTCATCGATGTTTCTATCTCTCTCTCCTTCTCCCTTCCACTCTCTCTAAAATCAATTTTAAAAAGGCAAAAAAAAATTTTTTTTAATGTAACAAAGTCATCAGGGCCTCACAATATGTGTGG